TAACCCGAAGCTATGAAGTTTGATACCAATAAATGTTTAAGTATAGTTTGTACATTATAACTACGTGTATATCGATGCTTTTCTAATTCTCTAAAATTATGTTTTTGGTTAAACAATTTGAGCAAAGTTTATAGAAACGAATACTATTAGTAGATACATGTTACTTTGTCATAAAAGCCGTACAGTACGTTGACTTAAACACATACTGTATAGCGTAAATGTGTGCGTTACAATACGCGCGCCGCATAATTAACACATTATCGTAGTAAAATTTTTTGTAACGGGACCTTAAAATCGAGTGATTGTGACACACGTATACAGTAATTGTAAGTGTATTACGAGTCGATTGTTTTTTCATATGCAAACAAAAACACACATTTAGTAAATTGTTTTATTACTAACAGTACAATTCGAATAAGTATAACTTTTTATTCAGCAAATGTTAGTCAATAAATCAAACAGAGATACTGGATTGGCTTACAGACAATGGTTCAAACATTGGATAGCACTCAAAAATATATAATTGAAAAAGCCTGAACTGTGAAACAGAAAGTGTAAGAAATGGTCAGCAGATAAATAAGGCTTATCATAAGCATACAAGTGCATACGGGGAGACTAATTAATCATGCCTCCCTAATTTTGTGTAACTCGATGGTATCGCAAAGAATTTTCGATCAGAGTGTGCCACCTGCCATGCAATATTACACAAGCGGAAAAGGCAGCTGCAGATGAGATGCTGTTAAAAATAGAACATTAGCATTCGATTAGATATACAAGAGGTGCGAATTAGGAATGTTCGATCATTCCTTTCTAAATAATAAACGAGTAGTTCTTTATACTCTGAAATACATTATTAATTATTCGTTCTCTGGCAATTATTGGTATATGTGAAATCGCTAATACTTAATCGATTAGGAATATTCGTCTCTTGTTCTAGTGGCATTATGACTGTTATTTTCTTAAGTGGAGTGGAAATGCATTTCAAATAAACACTAATCTACCGAATTAATCCCATTGGAAGGGAATAGTCAATTAACTCGAGGGCAATAACCGTCTAGGATTAGATCTACCGATCAACACAAGGTCATGAGTAGTAAAAAAGTCACTAACTGTCGCTATTGTAAGAGCAGTATTAAAGCTGGCTATCTTCAATGGTCACTCTCATTTTGGATACTCCAGCGCACTTTACACAATAAAGCACTACGGCAGCGCGCATTTAAATCTCATCTCTGTCCAATTACAATTTTTTTCTATCTATATGTTTTCTGTTAATGCAGTCTGTTTTAATGTCCCATTATTTCTTCCGGCATATTTTGTTTAAAATTCACGGTATGAATTTACATGAAAATTGTTCACACTCGTTGTCACCTGTAAATCGTAACTATTTAACTAGGAACGTTTAATTGTGCCGGGCCGACTGCGTCGATCGGGCGTCGTACAATTATTGTATTAACTTATTGATAAATGATATTCATCATCAATATATATTAACATGCATATTATATCGGTAAGGTTTGTGTTATTGATGATGCGATAAACGTATCTTTATATGCGAAGCTAGGCTTAGACTTTTCCACGTTGAACAGCAGATCGCGGCGTATGCTTGACCAGCAGAGAATATGTTATTAACTTATGTTCGTTAGTGTAGGCCCCTGTGTTTTGTGTATTGCGAACGCGAACGAATTTTGCAAGAAAAAATTGTGTGCTTGTCTTGCTATATAAAAGTAAGACATTTGACGGGATATCCAGTAGTGGACTATCCCATTTTGAATACAAACGCTACTTTGATTGAAAAAGTGTTTTGTCAAAATCGGCAATAATTTCAATTGTGCCGTTTGCAGATACTTTTTTTGATTAGTGAATTGTTTAAGTACATGACTCTTGCTCCTTGTTGTATGCGTATCGAGTGGCAAGTTTTTGAGCTTGAAATCTGACCGCGTTAATTTGACAGCTTGTAAATGGTATAGCTTCGTAAATCATGAATTTGTCATTTTCTACTGGTAATGCATTATTGATTATAATTCATTTGATTTACAGTTTTTTTATACAGGATTATATGTGTAGTGTGTGACGATTGTTGTGTGGTGAATGTTGGGATATATGAATTACATTGGTTTACCCATTCTTTATTATTAATCAGTGCGTTTTTGATAAATTTTATCTCAAATATATTGAAATCAGCGCAGGAAACTGTTATGTGATTGGCGTTAATTGACACTGGTTAGCAAAACAATAGTTACTATCATATTCATAGGCAGTTAGTTTATAATTGCTTTCATTGATATTGTCTTGGAGAAAAGTACAAATGGCGTGTCTATTCGTGGAATAGTGCTTATTAATATTCATCGCATTTTTGTACAATAAGCGTTTTTTGTATTTGTTTCAAAAGTGTATAAAAATAATTAGGAGACAGAGCGATGTACTTGGAAGAGCGCTCTACGATAGTCTTCATTATAATTCAATAAAATGCCAAAGTAAAGTACCCGTACTTTCATGCATAAAGCTAACTAAATAAGAACTTATTCTTGACCAATTGTCATTGTAACTTCATACATGATTCGAATAAGCGCGTCATAAAAAGAGTAATAGAGTTAACCAACTTTCTGCAATAACTGATCCATTTGGCTTATTATACGGTTGTGAGTGGTTTAGATATGATCCAATCTATCTTACGTTAAATTATCACACTAATTTAGCGTGGTAAAATATAACCAATTTACCAACCATTGTAAGTGTTATTTTCCGACAAGCATTTTTGAGGTCCAAAACATAGCATAAAGCATAGCCATATGCGATATGCCATATAGCATAAAGCATAGCCATATGCGATATGCCATATAGCATAACTTTAAAATCAAAAGTGTTGATTATTGCCAAAAAAAAGTTTGCATTACGCGAGTAGATGTAATAAGCTGAAGTCGAGACATAAACAAAAAAATGTGGGTTCAATATTTACAATATGAGTGTGCTAATGTGAAATTACAAGACTCAGAAACAAATGATTACGTGACTGTTTATGTAATATGCTAATAATAGTAGTTTTTTGTCTTATTTTGATCAGAATATTGACAATTGACGTAGGAGTAGGTGATAAATTTACGGTGTTTGGAGAATATTGCATACAAGCGGCGGCGCAATATCCATAATGCAAGATTTCGTGCATTGCAATGAAACAGAGTTTTGCATGACAGATGGTCTAACTTTCGTAGAAGTCGCGCATACATTTGCGATCTTGGTCTCCTCGATTAGTGGATTCATGTGTGTCAAATTCAACAATTCGAGGAGTTTCACCGAAAGTCTTCTGAAAATTTACAAAGATATCAGACATATACAGTATATTTTTTTGGTATTATTATATTTTATTGTAACCATAGATGCCTGATTCAACGACAGAGGCATATAAAACTTGATGAGTTATGATGGAATGCTAATCTTAGCAAGCGTACAGAAGTATATAGAGTTGAGTTATATATTCACGCTCTTGTTAGAACAGTGGACGAGGCAAATTCCGACAGCGTCTAGAATACCATTTATTATACTAATGTAAAACATCTATCGTGTATCGAGGAGGAGAGTAAACACTCTTGTAAGCTCTTACCTATTGGGAATTTGCCTAGATGTTAGAATAACATATGTTGTCTATTATATGACTCAAATTTTTGAATAAACTGTGAATGGGTCTATCTATAGTTTATATAAATTTTTTACTTTCTTCTTCCAAGTAAATGAATATTCTTGTACAGTATGTTAAATGCAGTTGAATTCTATCTGTCTGCAGATTTGTGCACATTTCAGTAACAGTAAGTGTTTAATTTGCAACCAAAGTAGCAATTGCAATGTTAAATCCGTTAAGTATAATCAAAACTTTTTTTGTTATTCAAATATAGAAAAACAGTGACTGAATTAATTAATTGTTTACTTTCTATTGTTCGTGTTCGTAGACCAGGGACGATTGGAATGTAGCAGATCATCAAATCGGTCATGATAATGAGAAATCTAAAAGCATCGCATATAAGTACCTCGCAATAAATAAAAAATACAGTATGTCAGTATAAGAACAACCCCGTACCTTTTGTTAATCAAATTCATCTTGATACTGACTAGTTAGAAGCTGGCCAATTATTTCCACATGAGATCAGACAAGCTACGGACGTTAGTTTTTTCAAAGACTGTTGAAAAGAGTTATACGTTTTTGTTATAAGATTTCCATATTACAGCACATCAGCTGTTTGTGTGCTGCTTGGTGTGATGTTAAGCGACATTTACGAAGTACTGTGAGCAGAAATTTATTACATCTGCTGATTTGAACACAGACTATGATGAACGTAAAGTTCGTTATCGAAAGACTCAAATTTTGTAGTTGAAATAGTTTACTAATAAATTATTATATTAACAAGTTATTGTAAATCGTCGGTGCTAATTACTGTACCTGCTATAAGCCTTGTGATTAGCAATATTTTTACAAACAATTGGGCTTTATTCTGGGACTTGTACATACATAATTGATAATATTTTTACTTTGAACGTTTTGAGTAGTCAAAGTATTACCCCGATTAGTATTGATTTAAAAATTACCTCTTATACTGTATAACAACAAATCTTGTTTTTTTCTAATTGAGCGCAGTTAAAACTAAAAATAAATTGATTTTATTTTATTTTTGTTTTCCCGATATAGGAACTTATAGTGCTGGTATAGGACGCTGTTTAATTTGTGCTGACATATAATAATTCTAACTTAGAAAATCAGCGCTAAATTTAGGCGATAAAGTGCAGAATGTATAAGTTGCTATCTTTTATTGTGTGTAAACAATTTGGCGCCTATTACTATTCTTGTTGTTACCATATTCGAATTTATTATTTGCAAACGCACAATATATAATTTTGTTGAATAAATTGCGCCACACACAAACATTTCTTATAAAAAGAGCACCTCGTCATCGTTCGAATTAAAACAACGTAAACCACACACAATCCAAAAGCCTTGCATAAAGTATTTACCAATGACTACCTTCAGAAAAGTTCTGGCACTCGCTTTGATTTTGGCAATTTGCCTCCTTGTTTTATCAGATGCATCACCCCTCGGCGATTTTGAAGTACCCGACGCCACCGATTCCTCAGACATTTGTCCTTGCAAGGCTCTTCCTCCCAGTAAATTCTGTTGTGATCCCACAAAAGATTGGTTTAAACCGAAGGCTGTGTGGTAAGATTTTCTCAAACTTCTTGATATTGTTTATGCTATGTGCCATTCGCATGTGATTAAAATTTTTACTTATAATTATCTTTTATAGAATTAACGTGTTCCTTATTGTTATAATTATTGTTCAAGGAAATACTGCATTGAATTGTATTTGTTTACCATCTCACTTTATTCTTGTATAAATGTCATGTATCGTTACTATTATAAATAAATGATTTATATGTAAACGTTGCAAACAAAAGAAAATGCCATGTATATGGGACTGCGAGCATATCAATACGCCAGTTAGGATAACACTCGAAATAATACGTCTCGTTATGAAATGTAATTTATTGCATACGGCGATTAGTTCGTCGCTGCATTATAGATTTGCTCATATATCGTTTGTGCTTACCAGTTTGTACAATAATTGCAAACAAAATTTCCAAATTTGGTGTGATGGCCGAGATATCACATGGTTATAATGGTAGCGCCTCATTATTGTTTTAGCAACACAGTCGCACTGTGCATGTTTCACATCGAAATACTGACGTTGATTGAAAGAGGAAACTACTTTGGTTCCTTGACAAGGTTGGACACGTTTAGCACACAGGCTTTTTTAACAGTCGTTTTAAATTTTATTCCGTAATGCAAACCAACGTGATATCGTTCTGTGAACTGAAGACCAGATAACAATATACAAAAACACTATTAAACGCTTTATTAAAGAAAACAATTTGTGTGTAATAATAACGATTGACAAGAAAACGGTTTGCTGCATCCGCTTTATGCTTAGTCATATGATTGTTAATGTTAGTGTAATGGATTATTAAGAATAACCGACTTCACCATAATGTGACCAAATTGTGTCTATATACACGTAGTAAAGAAAGTATGTTCTGTATTTTCTTTCTGTTGAGGGTGTTGTGGCTAAAATAGTGGTGCCAAAACTGGCAATTTCTATGCCTATAAGATTTTTGCCAGTTCTTTTTTTTGAAATATAAGGAAATGACAGAAAGAAATACTGTTCGACTGTCATGCTTTATCACGATAATGCTGCGCCACATACACACTAAGTATCTAAAAAAGGAAAACGTTAGTATTCTTCCCCCACCCAGCGATTTTTTTCTGTTCCCTAGAATCAAAAATAAAAGTGTAATAAGGTTGAAAATCTCGCGCGGGCCGTTCAATCAATTACTGAGTATATCAAAAGACGAGTATCATATAGGTCGTTTGAGGATTGGCGTAGGAGGTTACAACTTTGCATAGATAGAGATGGTCACCACTTTGAAGGAACGAATAGTTTGTTTCGATGTTGTAACACAAGTTTTGGAAATAAAGACATTTTCGCATTACTTTTCAGCCATCCCACGTAGTTCAATGAAACAATCGAAATTTCTGTGGAAAAGGCCTTGCATTTTATTTTTAGGTGGTGTCACCCATGGGATCTGAATATTGTTAGGGAGACAACAATCCGTATTAAATATTCGAAAGCTGAAAAGATTTGGCCTGCCATATAAGGAAAAGTGATAGTCAGGCGCCAATAATTCCAAATAAAGCCATCACTTACCAGGGGTCATGACTGCAACATCGTAGCACATAACAACGATACGTCTTTATGGAAATATTTTGTCTCTATGGGACGTTCCTATGGGGATAAATTACACTGAATCTAGTGCTAGTCTTGCTGAAGACCCAAACGTATGAATCGTTCACTAGCAATACTAATCTCTTCTGGAAGAGTAAACGGTATTAGACTATAGTTTATCCTTGTATGGCAAACAAATCTTTCCATTTAGTAACAGCTTGTGTAATTAGTCGACTTTACTTATCCTTTGGTTCCTTCTATTCTGCAGATAAACAATTTTATTAATAAACTCAATCTGTCTACCAAATACACGTCAATTTTTTAAACAATAAACTTGATCGTTTACTACATATGAGGCTTTGCGCTTTACTCTTATTCTGTAAGCTAATAGAATAAGAGTATTTGCTCTATTATGTTTTCATATAAAATTGTCTAACTTTTTTATTATGTCCAAGCACCGAAATTAGTATCGCAGTCAATGATAATAATCGGCCTACGTACTATTTAAACTTGGTCACAAGGCACTCTTGTTAAATTTAGTTATCAAATCAAAATTTTGCGATTAAAGTGCAGCAGTGATGTAAGTTTCTATCTTTAATTCGCCATTCATATCATCATTGATTTTATTTTGTAACCAATAATTACAGTTTTATCACATGCGCGCGCGTACCCACACAAAATTTTTTATAAAAAGAGCACATCTTGTTGTCGTTCGAATTAAAACAACGTAAATACAAAAGCCTTGCATAAACTATTACCAATGACCGCCTTCAGAAAAATTCTGCCACTCGCTTTGATCTTGGTAATTTGCCTCCTAGTTTTAGCAGACGCATTACCTATTAGAGACAGTGATGACATTGGCTCATTTGAAGAACCCGACGGTCTGACAAGACCTAAAAAGTGTTGTCGTTGTAAGAGTCTTCCTTGCAGTAAATTCTGTTGTGATCCGCTAGACGGGGGTTTTTAGTTAACTACGAGTTACACGGGTAAGAATTTCTTAAATGTTTTTGCTAATACTGTACCATTCGCAGGTGGTTGAAATCTTACTTATATTCATCTTTTATAAACTCAAAGTGTTTGCTATTATTATGGTGACTGTTCAGGCGAATACTGCATCGAGTAATTGGCATATGAACGTGCAGTCCAAAACTTGGATAAACACAGTGTTATTGCTATTAATAGATACGTATTCTGGAAAAAATGTGAAGCAGCCAGCATTCAAGCCAAACTAGTTGCTTTAAATCTTATTTTTGTGTCTCATTTTATTTTATGTAAAGATCATATCTGTATTACTTTTTACTGTTTAATATGAATAAATGCACAAATATTCTTGTTATAAATAAAAAGTGAAGTGAAACATGTAGTTTTATACGTGAATGTTAAAAAAAACTTTAATATGGACGACATAATATATTCGACAAGTACTAGATTGTGGAGAAATATCGAACCTCCATAAAAGAACACAGCCGGAACAGCCAAATTATGATCCATCATAGAAGTTTTATAGAGTTTGTTCATTTACTAATAAGTCAGATTCGTCCCACGATAAAGTGTTCTTTATGAGAGGTTATTTCGACTGCATATATCAGCTAGTCATGTGTAAACAATGTCTCACCATTAAAAATGTAATTTAGACAACATTTATGATTGGTTTTGTCCATACGCCATGTATTCTTTTCTTGAAAATTGTTCTAATAATAGAACTTTCCAATTTACGATCATTGCGAACAAAATTTCCAATTTGGTGACGGCGGATAATCACACGATTTACCAGTAAATACGCACACAGAATTAGCCCAATCTCTCAGTCAATCAACAAATTCAATAACCGGTAAGAAAAGCGGTACAGACAATGTGTTATGATTAAAAATATAATGTCTCACTTTTAAAATACTGACGCTTAATCAAAAAGGGGAAACCCCGCTGCCTGCTAACAAGATTGAACACAAAAGGCTTTTTAAATAGTGCTCTATAATACCGACCATAGTAATATTGTTCTTGTAACTAACTGAAGGCGAGATTACAATAACTAAACGCTTTATTATTGCTATTATTACATATCTAATATTAGAAAGACAATATTGCAACGGCAAAAGAATGTGCGATGTAACACACAATAAAGTGTAATCATCTTCACTTGGAAACTTTTTATTCAAACCATGACATGTCATTAGTTCCAAGGGTCAAGGATGAGCATCCAGATATTCTTAACACAGATGTTTGGATTACCATTGGATTTACATACGATGCAAGGAAACAAACATATTGTCTGATAAAACAGTGTGATGAGATTGGATTATGTCTAGCATGCACGAAGTCCTTAAAACCTGAGATAAACGCTCAAATGTAAATCCCACCCACCTGATTGGACTACAGACGACAAAATTTTGGATTTATTATGGAGTTCATGGCGTAATATAGAGAATAAGTTTGATACCTTTTGTAACAATTTGCGAATCGTTACATTACTCAATGATTACGATATTGCAATATCGTAATCATTGAGTAATAATGAAGACGATACTATTTAGTGTATTATCTATGTCGTAATATGTTTACGCTTTTATTGCATCATTATTTAGTTATTATGTAGTCATAATTATACACGTATATGTGTATTTTATATCATATGTCATGGTTATATATTTATAGCAGAACCAACGGCAAATGAATAGACAGAAGTGACACTCAAGCAGATAGGTGATACTCTGTTGCTTGATTTTCATCAGGTAAAATTATTTCACATGTAAACTGATGCAAATAATATTAAGTATACATTGCATTGACTGTTGTTTCTCAAATGGCTAATTAAGAAATATCCAGAGATATTAACCTTGGATCATTGGGAACCATCTACTGGTTAGTAGAGGACACACAAAATCAAGAACCACCTACTGGGAAATATTATTTAGTTTTCTACTATGACACGTGAATATTATACAACGTTACGAACGTTTATGCAATATGGCGCCTTTTGTGAACTCAAAGGATCCGATCTGGTGGCTATGGAACAGTTTCGATGAAACGCCGGAACTATTTATTGCTGGGATAAGTATTCTTTGATACCATTTATTAGAGTGGAGTGCATAAAGTGCATTTCTATTGCCATCATTTGCTGCATGAACTTACCATTTATGACATATTCTTATTCATTCGTTCTTCATGTTCTTCATTTCAACCAACAAATACCCATTTATCGTAATTTTTTGGGTAGATCTTTCGGGGGACTTTATACTTAACACACCACAAGAGTGTATTTATTACATTTTCTCTGTTGTTATTATTTTATTTCGTCATTATATTTTAGCAATCCGTCACTTTTTATCATCGTCGTTTGTCATACATTCCTGCATGTGCCTTGTTGTACAGTCACCCATTTTGGTTAATCATTATTTATGCGTGTGTGAATAAAAAGGATATGACATACTGGCGTCCTTCCAATGAACTACAAAAAGTTTTACGCTTACTTTATGAAGAATATTACGCTCAGTTTCCATGCGTTCCCTGTTCTTATTGCTCGCGCTTATACAATCAAAATGATACTGTTCCCATCTCCCCCCGAATTACGTTAAGCTATTTAGCTCATCACTTGTGCATCTCCCCCAACTTATTAAGTAATACCAACATAGTAAATTACGTAGAAAATTAAACTAATAACTCCCATATTTCTATTATTCTTGTAAATAATTTTGTAACAGAGAAATAAAAACAAACTTTTTATTATTTACTTCGATGCACCAAATTTCCAATGATTAAATGTAATGACATTTATTGTTTTTCGCTCCTCTGCAGATTAAAATGTTCAAATGTCTCGTTTTCCAAAAGTCTGCAACAGCCGTACCCCCCTGCTCGAATCCATTGACGTAATCAAATACCCCGCAAACAACTTCGTCTTGCAGAATGCGACATAACAATTCGTCACGATGCCGACAAAAAAACCTTTACGAAAGAATCAAAAAGCAAAAGTTGGCTTCAAGGTATCTATCGTTGGCGAATTAGACATACATAATGATAAACTTTATTTAGAGCTCCATAACTTTGACTTTCTTTTACTCAACACCACCACTCAAATTACATCAACCAACCAAATATCCTGTGACTACTCGACCCCAACCCTTTATCGGAAATAAAGCACTTGTACAAATTGCTCTTCGACAATCCGAAAACTCCTCCAAACCGAACTAATGACATCATTATCCCAACTCTTTTTACCTCTGAAGCTCAATAAACCATCAAGACACCGATTCTGTGTCTACAATCAAGACTCGCTAAAACCATTAAACAAGAACAATTTCAGAAAAGGCAATAATGTTCGAATCAATCAAACAAATTTGCCAGTTTAGCATTATAACTATATTAATATATGCGACATTTTTTCTGATCAACATATTAGTATACTGGTAACTAGTCAATAAATAAATATATCTTTGACGAACATTATTACACAATCATAAATCACATTGGCACAAGGCTTGCCAAAGGAATCCACGTTCTAACACTAACAAGGGGCGAAGACCCCCCCCCCCCCACAAATAAATTCTGATCTAGTTAAAGTAGAATAACCGGAACTAACGTTCGGGACTAGAAAATTTGAGAGCGTGCATTTAGGGATAATATATGAATGTGTATTTAGAGAGTTTGTATTGGTAAATCATATGATACTATTTAATAATGATATGTTGCGTAAATACTGATCTATGCTTGTCGGTTGCATCATATTGGCTTTCGTTCTCTAATATACCTTTCAAGAATGTTTGCATGTTCATTTGTTCATTTGTGGATTCATTAACTCTGACTTCCCCATTGTTTTCAATTTTTACTTTGCCATGGTAAAAGTATGGCGTTTATTGAAAGACGAGAGTTTAATACAATTATCATAATCATGCTAGCTATTAGTTAACAAATTGTTAAGATTATGACTAAGCGAATGTA